TCTCAAGCTGTCGGCTTTAATAGTCAACATTGTCTTGGTCTCTCTTATCAGGCAGAGACACCCGGCGAGAATATTGATTCCTGGTAATTTTAACCATCATCTGCCATCCTGACGGGTAATTGTCAGATTTTCACCCGAGTCAGACCTCATTTGAAATCGTTAAAGCTTCGGCGAAGCTGCCGGTTGATCTTAACGTTTCCTTTTCCTCGCCTTCAATATGTCGCGGCAGCAGCCACGGGCGAGGGGAAAGAGGGGGGGGGGCTGCAGGGAAAGAGAGAGAGAGAGGGAGAAAGACAGAGAGAGAGAGCTGGCAGCCGTAGAGAGAAGAGGCCGGGGGGCGCAGGAAGTAGCCGCAGCCGGAGGGCTCAGCCCGGCGCGTGGAGTGGAAAAGGCCTGGCCCGGGTCTCAATAGCCGCCCGCCGGAACGAAGGCTGGCCCGGTTCCCCTTTTCCTCCGGCCGCCGCAGGGCTGTGGGTTAGCGGGGAGAGGGGGAAGGGGGCGCCTTGGCAGAAAATGGTGAGGGATCCCCACACGCCCCATCAGAGATCACGCGATCCCCCCCTCCCCCCCAGGGTCTCACTTCTCGCTGGAGACCCCCCCAAGCGGTCGCTGCGTCCATGCCGCGGGTGGAGGGCATTCTGGCAAGGGATGTGGGCTCCCCGGACGCGGCTTGGCGCTGGGGCGGGACCCTCCTGCTCGCCCCTGCCCGAGGTGAGCGAGAGAGGGAAGAGGCGAGCTCCCGTCGCTCCGGCCTCTTCCCGGAGCGTCCTTTAAACTTCTAATTAGGATTCGTGGTGTGATCCTATTAATTTAATAATCCCGCAGCGGCGCAGGAAGCATTAACCTCAATTAGGCTCCTGACAGTGCAGCCCGCCCGGGCGAGCCCCGGCCTCCTAAAACCCGTGCCTGCCCCCCCTGCCTCACGGGAACTGCAGCTCCAGGCCCCAGGCGAGTGGCGGAATCCTCTCCTGCGAGGCAGCGCTGGGCCCACTTGGGATCCTTTGGGGAAGGGACGGTCAACCCCCGAGGGGAAGCTGGCTCTCTCCGATACAGGGAACGGATGGAGGGAGGGAGAGGATCCGAGTTGAAGGAGGCCACTGCCAACGGGCTTAGCGCCCAGACTCCTTTCGCTGCCTCTGCTCTGGACCAGGAGGAGACAGGCAGGGCACGTGGGAACGAGGCTCCCAGGAACAGTAGCCAAGCGCGGGATGCAGAATAAGACAGTTGGAAGCGTCGGCGCTCACCCGCGGGCCTGGACACGAGGTGTGGGGGTCCAACCTTGGCCTCAAAGGGGTCTCGGCCAAAGGAAGAAGGCGGGGAGGGGCGGGGTGGCATCGCTCGTCCCAGCCTGCGGCTGGCGTCATTGAGGTGTGTGCGCGTCGGGGGTCGCTCCGCCTCGCGAACACGAAACTAGCCCGAAATCCGAAGCTCAACAGGCGCCGCCTCGACGGCTTCCCGTCTAGCGAAACTTCCCAGGTGCGCTACCGGGGGAGGAGGAGATCCCCGTGGAAGAGGAGGGAAGAGCGGATCCAACTGCGCGGGAGGAGGAGGAGGCGCCCCCTGGAAGGCGGAGGGGTTGGACGGCAAATATTTCCCTGTGCTTGGCCAGATCCGCCAAAAGGCACCCGACGTGACTTGGATGCCCGGCGGGGACCGCAAAAAGGAAGAGCGGGCCTGCTTCCGAGTCTCGCCTTAGCCTACCTCGCGGGGGCGCTGTGAAGGTCAACCAGTGCAAGAGCCGGTGCGGGCCTGCACAGAAAAACAAGCTATTTCTGGAGAAAAGGCAACGCGGGGGGGGGGGCGAAGAAAGGGGGGGGCGTTCTCTGGCCTGGCTGGTAGGGGTGTGTGGTCGTCGGCTCTCCCCCCTCCGCCCTCGAGAGCCTCGCCTTCTCCCGCGGTGACCTTTGGGTGCTCCCGGCGCGCGTCTCTGATCAATGCTGGGCCGGGGGGGGGGAGAAGAATCCCCCTCCTCGCCGAAGTCACTGTCCCGCCCCCCCCCGCCCGCCGGCCCCATGTAAATCCATCAAAGTGACCTTCCCCATATAACAAGGGCTGCTAAACTGTTTTACCACCACGATAAATGTCCTTAATTACCCCGAGAGGTGCGTGCGCCGCGGCGAGGCCGTTGATGGATGGGCCGGAGGAGCAGGTCCATTTGTTGGCTGGACTTGGGAAGATCTAATTAAAAAGGAAGTTTGGGGCTCGGGAGGGGAGGGGAGGCAAGCGAAGCAGTAGAGGGAGCCCCTCGCCCCCTTTTGCCCACCCAGCTCGCCCCGCTGCCCGGGGACAACTACAAGGAAAGGCCGCCCCGGTGAGCTCGACGGGGACCCCCAGGCCGCCTCCTCCGCCTTCAGGGCCTCTCCCGAGCGGTTGCTGGCGAGGCTTTCCTCCCCCGGTGGGCTGCGGAGCTGGGCGATCGGCCTCCCGCCCAGCCGGGAAAAAGCGCCAAGGCCTCCGGGTAGAAGCCCCGTCCTCCGACGATTCTGCCCGAGGGGGCCAGTTAACTCTCGCTCCGGATTGGAAGCTGCTGCAGAAAAGGCGGCGGAGGCGGCCTTGGCGCTCCCGGGCGGCCTCCCCTCGCCTGCCAGGGCTCCCCGAGGCTCCGGGCGCCAACGCCAACTTCCCCAGGGAAGAGAAGCGGAGCTGGCAGGCGGGTTGTGGGGGGGGGAGCGAGGGCGCAATTAAAGCCCTAATTAGCAATCAGTTGTGATTAGGCACCAGGCCGCTTGAGCGGGACAGCCGAGGGGCCCCCAATCTCAGGGCCCGTCTGGCAGGGTCTCCCCTTCGCCTGTCCCGGGAGGGGGACCCTTCCGAGCTGGACTGGGAGCCCCTTCTTGCCCTGAGGGCCTCCACCCGCCTTTCCCGAGGAAGCCACGGCCGCGCCGGCTCCTGTGCCTGACCCCCCGCGAGATGCCTGGCCGCTGCCCGCCTCCCCCGCAGGGCCTTCCTCGGGCCCCTTCAGCCGACGGACTAACCAAGGCCCGGCCGGGCCCGAATTGCAGAAGGTGGCTTGGCCCATTATGAGTTTGAAGGGCCGCCTTCCCAGGGATCGTTGCTCGCGGTAATTACAAACGGCCCTGCCTTTGCATGTGTCACCGCCCGCCGCGGCCAAAACACGGGAGGGGGCATCGCCCTCATTTCCCTCTATTCCTCCCGGCCCTTCAGACGAAGCGGAGATCCGGGGCGTGAGGGGGGGGGGAGGCCGAGAAAGGCACAAGAAACGCCAGGCAGGAATGGGGGCAGCTGCCTCGAACTCTTCACTCTCGGGGTTTCCTATACGAGATGGGGCAGGTGGGAATGTGTTTTTTTTTCGCCCCCTCCCCTAATTTAGCTGGCGGTAAAACTGGAGCCGCCACATTCTGGGGCAAATCGACCCTTCCTTAAATTCCACCATTCTTGGCGGTTTTCATTCCAGTAGAAAAAGATAAGACAATTTCTGTGGTCAGCCCAGATTTCACGATGATGGGAACCTGGGTCTCGCCTCCCCCTGACGCGCGTCATTCCTGGTCTTGTGTCAAAGGCTCAGAACTGCCCCCGCCGAGCCCTGCTGGCTTTTCTAACGCGGGGGCCCTGGCTCGTGCCTTGCTCGTGGGAACGGACGTTTGTTCCGTGGAGGTGCGATCCCCAAATCCAGCTGGGCAAGATGCGCCCGGCCCAGGAATAACAACACCGCTGGCTGGAACGGCGTCGCTCGAGCCAACGACGCGCGTCCCCCCCCCGGGGGGGGGGGGACGGAGGCGCCTAATCGCGGCGTTGCTCTGGATCCCTCAATTATTTCAAAGCCGGCGCCTCCCCCCGCCCTCCCCCCGCTCCAAATAAGGCTATTTAGATGCTTTCCAGATGAGTGGAGGGGCGTTGAAACAGAGCTGACAGCTAAGTATATCTCCAGCAGCCCGGCCATCCTTCACGCCCTCCGCCGCTACCCCCGAGCTCCCCCCCACCCCGCGCCTCCTCCGATCTCCTCGGGGTCTCCTTCGGGACGGAGATTGCGGGCCATTATGGGCAAGGGATTAATTTGTAGCCAATTACCACCCAGCGCTAAATATGAATGCATAAATAAGTTGCAGTCCCAGGAAAAGATGGGGGAATAAACGCCCAGGTTGTCCGAGGAGGAGGAGGAAGAGGAGGAGGAGGAGGAGGAGGAGGAGGAGGAGGAGGAGGAGAAGCGGCGGACCCTTTGAAGAGAAGCTTCCTCGCCCCGCCTCGTGCCTCGCTTTCTCTGCCAAGTTCCTCCTCCACAGGGAAGGAAGGAAGGAAAGAAGGAAGGAAAGGAGGGAGGGAGGGAGGGAGTCATCTGGAGGGGGGAGCAGGCGGGGGCAGAGTCATGAACGTGAGACGAGACGAGGCTCAGGTGGGTGACGTCTATATTCCGGCACCGACAGCGGCGGCGGCAGGGAGCCCTCCGGAGCGCCTCCTGGGAGAACCGGGCAGCTGGCGGGAGGACGGCATGGAGAGCCACGCGGAGCAGCGCCTGGCGCCCAGCGGCGACCTGCCCCCCGTCTATTCGTGCCCGGTGAGCCGGGACAGGCCGGGAAGCGAGAACGGCGGCAGCAGCACATTGCCGGGGCCGGAGGGGGCGGGCGCGGCGGGGGCCGTGGTGCACCGGACCACCCCCTTCTCCGTGCTGGACATCCTGGACCCCAACAAGTTCAATAGCAAGGGCCGAAGGCAATGCGCCCTGCTCTACAAGGCGGCAAACGCGGCGGCCGGCACCGACTTCGCGCTGGCAGCCGACGAGAAGCCGGAGGAGGCGGGCGGCGACCCCAATGCTGCGTCCGAAGACTTCCAGGCCGGCAGGAGGAAGCCCTCGCTCGACGGGCGCAGTAAGTCCCGCTCCCGCGGGGATACCTGGGGTGGGGAGGGCTGGAACAGGGGTCGGGCAGAACTCTTGCGGAGAGCAGCGCCGCATCCTTCCCAAACCCGCCACTTTGAGGCTGAAGGTGCGAGCCTTCCCCTGCCAGAGCCGCCCGGGGCCCGGAGAGTCCCCGCTTTGGGCTGGACAGATTAGATGGAGGAGCCGGAGGGTGGCACGGAGGCCGAATCTTGCGGGAGGCCGAGGGGGGAAGCAAGGGGTCCTAGCTGGACTTTTTGGAGAGAGTTGGGGAAAGTTTGCACCGGCCAACGCCGCCAGCCGCTTCCCAGCTCGGTGCGCCCGTGGCGGAGAGAAAGTCCCGGCTCTCTCTCGAGCTCTTCAGGCGGGGGAGGCAGGCGGCCCCAAACATCCGCACTTGGTGCCCCGCAGGCCGAACTGGGCGCTGCTCCCAGGGAGCAAGAGGAAGGAGGGGAGGGAAGCCGCGGAAAGACCAGAGTCCAACGCCGGCCCCGGCTATCCGCCTTGGGGATGACCCCAGCCGGGTCGCCCGGCCTTGGACGAAGCTTGCCCGGCAGCCTCCGGGCCGCTGCCAGAAGCTTCCCCCGGCCGACCCTCTCGCGTATCCCCCTTGCAACTTTCACACGTGCGAGCCTCCCGTCCTCTCCTCCGTTCACGCCAGTCCTTTCTTTGCCCGCGCTTTAGTTGAGGCCGGTGTGGGGACTGGGGAGGGGGCTTCGCTTCCTTGGTCCTTGAACCCCCCTCCCGCCCTCGTTTTCACCGCTAAGGCCTTTCGCTTCCGGCGACAGATTCAATTTTCTTTCCCGCCCCCCCCACCTTTCGCTCTTTTTTTTCAGGGGCAAATCAGACTAATTGTGACAAAACGCCGGTTATCTCTGGAAAAACAATTAAATTCCTTCGATTACATTTAAAGCGAAATGTGCTTAGCCGCGTAAAGAGGCTGCATAATGGAGGGAAATCGCCCCGGAGTGGCCTGTCGGGCTCAGCGGGTCGATATCCTATTATCGAGCCGTGCATATCTCTTTCAACCACCTTGCAAACGCCGGTCTAACATCTAAATTATAGGGCCCAAATTCGGATAATTACTCGATTAAAACCTATTACACTTATTAGGCTGGACTATCGATTGGGTTGGGGCGTTCGACCCGGTCGCCAGATTGCTTCGCTTGCGCGCCCCGCTCTCCCAGCCGCCCCTTCCTAGCCCCCGCTGCCCCCGGCGCCCCCTCCCCGGCCCAAGGCAGCCCGGCTACCCCCGGGAGAAGCAACTTTCTCCAGGCGAAAGCCCCCGGCATCCAGCGAGCGTCCTCCAGCCGGTCCCGCCTCGCTCTGTTCTCGCCTGTGCCGGGTTTACTTGCCCAAAACTAGGTTGGATTCTTCCCTCCTCCGAAAACTTCCCCGACTTCGAAGGGACGCCTGGGGCACCTAGAGAGGCTTCGGTGGCCGGCGGGACCGAGGCCTCGGCCTGGAGCCTGTCCCTGGCCTTAGCCGCCGGCCGGGCGAGTTCGCGGGGCGGTCCAGATCAGGCTCAGCTCTAGGTGAGTCCGGCGTGGAGAACCGGGCGCGGGGAAAGGATGAAGTGGCCTCAGCGCCCCCTAAATCTCCAGGGCTCTTTCCCGCCCATCCCTCCTTCCCCTCCTGGCCGGGGACGCCCCTCCGGGCTCTTTCGAGTTGAATTAAAACGGGGACACGCTGAAGGCGCTTCGGGGCGTCTGGTGCGTGCGGAGGGTCATTTCTACCGTTCTTCAAGTCACATCCAGCAATTAAGGGGAGTCCAGAAATGAGTCCCGCCCAGCCGCGATGTCCTTTCCTTCGGGTTGCCCCCCTTTCTGCCCTCCCACCCCCGTTCCCCAAACAGTCGTTTTGGTTTAGATTTCCTAGCAACGTCGCTTGGGGAGAGGATTTTGGCCCAACAATCCCTTTCTTGGCTTCGCGTCCAGAGACAGGCGCCTGGCAGGCAGTCAGAACCGCCCCCCCCCTTTAGAAATGTGGGATTATTGGGAACGTCCCGCCTTTCCACAAACGGAACCCCAGAATTCCGAAGCGGAGCCGGGTTGGTTTCGATGCCCTGGCGCAGGCTCCCGCCGGATGGCGAAGCTGAAGGCCGCTCCGGCGGGACGTCCGGACCTCCGCCAAGCCCCCGAGGGGAAGGCTGCCTCGCTCCCCGCGCAAGGACGCCCTTCCCTCGCGCTCCCACCGGCTCGAAGCCGCGCTCCAAGCTACGAGCGCCCGGCGGCTCCCCTGCGGCAGCAGAGACTCCAAACTGGGAGAGAACTTGGGGCGCTCGGAGGCTTCGGGCCTTCCGCGGATCCCGACCAAGCGCCGACAGAGGCAGAAGCGAGACGCCGCGGCGGCCTTCCGAAAGGCTGGGCGGAGGAGAGCGGAGTCTGGGCTTCGGTGGTTCGCCGAGAAGCGTTGCTCGAGGCCCGGGAGGGAGACTCGGGGAAATGGGTCTGTGTCGCAAGGCCCACAGGATCCGCAGAGAGAGGGAAAGGAAGCCAGGTCGCTTCTAGCCTCCTTTCCCCCCCCGGGCGTCTTGGACCCCGTGGCCGCAGGGTTCCCGAGCCACCTTTCTTACGCCTTTCCCTTAACCCAAGACCCCTACGGGAGCCCTCCCTTAGGCCCTGCACCCCCTCTCCTTTCCAGCCTGGTCTGCTTGGCCCCCGACCTTCGCTTGGCCAGCAGGCCAGACTAGAAATGAGAGGGGGAGGCAAGGCGCGGGGGAGGGGGGGTCCCGTGGGGGTCTTTTAGGCGCCCAGTCGGGCCTCTTCCTCTCTTACTAGCGGTTGCAAGATCCGCTTTGGGCAGTTGAGGGCGGTTCTACCGAGACGCCGCTGTCCGTGGTGCTGAAGGTGCATCCAGCGGGGAAGCCCTGCCGTCATGATGGGGGAGGGAGAAACACGTCCAGGGACGGCTCGGCTCTCTCACCCGGGACAAGCTCGGGTTGGGGTCCCGCCCCGGTTCGCCGCCTTTCCCCACCCAGGGAGGGCTGCCGCCGACTAGCTTTCTCTCCTTTTCGCACAGAACCCGGCGAGCTGTACCCGAGCGACGAGGTGGGGCTGGAACCGGTGCACCGGGAGAGCCCCCTGCCCGAAAGCGAAGCGCCGGACGAGGAGGAAGAGGAGGACGAGGAGGACGAGGAGGAGCTGGGCAGCGAGGGGAGTTGCAACAGCGACGGCAGCGCCGTGGAGGCCGCTCGGGGACTCGGCGCCGAGGAAGGCCAGAGCCCACAGAGGCAGCCGGCCGGAGCCGCTCCGGGGCTCCCGCCACAGCCGCAGCCGCAGCCGCAGCCGTCGCCGCCCCAGGGCCAGGCCGCCACCCCGCCGTCGGGGGGCAAAACCAAGCGGAAGCGCCCCGGCTCGGACTCCAAGTCGGGCAAGCCCCGGCGGGCGCGGACAGCCTTCACCTACGAGCAGCTGGTGGCGCTGGAGAACAAGTTCAAGGCCACGCGGTACCTGTCGGTGTGCGAGCGCCTCAACCTGGCCCTTTCGCTCAGCCTGACCGAGACGCAGGTCAAGATCTGGTTCCAGAACCGGCGCACCAAGTGGAAGAAGCAGAACCCCGGCGCCGACACCAGCGCCCCGACGGGCGGCGGGGGCGGCGGGGGCGGCGGGGTGGGGGGCGGCGGCGGGGGCGCGGGCGGCCTGTCCGGGGCGCTGAGCCCGCTCAGCCACTCGCCGCCCATGGTCAACCACGGCCTGGCCATGCACGGCCCGCCCGGAGCCTACAGCCACTCGGCCGGCGGGCTGGTGTGCGCCGCCCAGCTGCCCTTCCTGCCCGGCCCGGCCGCCGTCCTCTCGCCCTTCGTGCTGGGTTCGCAGACCTACGGCGCGCCCGCCTTCTACACGCCGCACCTCTGAAAGCGGCCAGACTGCAGGGAAGAGGCAGCCGCCGGACCTCCGGGGCTTGGCTGCAGCCGCGGCGCCCAGCGGAGCGGCCCGCCCCGACCCCCTTCCCGGCCGGCAGGGACTGCGAAAGGCTCCGGCGCCGTCGGGCTTCCTGGACTGGCTTCTGGCAGCGACTGGGAGCCGCCACGGCCGGGAGCAGAGAAGCCAAAGGGCTCCCCTTGTAAATAGACTCCGCTCTTCTCCGGTGCCCCCCCCCTCCATCGTCCCCCCTTCCACCGCTCCAGGAGACTGGGGACTGGCCGGGACAATCGCCCCTTCGCTGGGGCTCCAGCAACCGACAGCATCTCCCCTTCGTTTTGGGGGCTCCTTCCTTCCTTCTCACACTATCCATCTATCTATCTATCTATCTATCTATCTATCTATCTATCTATCTATCTATCTATCTATCTATCTATCTATCTATCTATCTATCTTTCTTTCTTTCTTTCTTTCTCTCTCGCTTTCTCTTCCTTTCTTCCTTCCTTCATTCTTCCATCTTCTTTCTCTTTCTTTCTTTCTTTCTTTCTTTCTTTCTTTCTTTCTTTCTTTCCTTCCTTCCTTCCCTCCCTCCCTCCCTCTCTCCATCCCTCCCTCTCTCCATCCTTCCTTCTTTCTCTCCTGCCTCAGACTTCGGTTTTTAGCACGAAAAAGCGACCTGACAGGAGGGGGCAGGAAAGGGAATTTTTTTTAAAAAAATCAAAGCCGGAGGAACTTTTTGGAAACCTCTTTCGCGCCTCTGTACATTTCTGGCTGTTGTATATATAAAGAGATATTTAAAAAAAAATATTAACTTTATAGATTGTGAATAAAGGAGGACGGAACGATTGAGAACGAAGCGTTCGCGAGCACTTTGCGGTCATCGGGCCGAAAAACAACCGGCAGCTGTCTGTCCCGAATTTGCCTTGGCTGCCGCGGAGAATCGGCAGGCCGGCAGCTCACCCAGGAGCGCGGCCTTTCCGTGGGAAGGCGAAGGAGGGCCGGATCCTTAGACGCGCGTCCTCTCTAGAAGGGCGGCTGTTTCTGCTCCTTGGGAGAAAGACCAAGGGGCCATTTTTAAGGAAGAGCCGCTGTTCTTTCCGTGGCTCCTCCGTCTCCCACCCAACTGGCAGCGTTTTCCCACGCAAAGCCCGCCGCCCGCGATCAGTGGAATGGGGGGGGGTCTTCTTTAAATACGTCCCCACCGCCTCCTTTCCCCCCCTTGAACATCAACGGTACGATCCTCCTCTCCATCCCAATTGCCTCCCCCCCCCCGCCTTCAAAACGGATCGTTCCCTACGGAAATTTTTATTCTCCTAAAAGCTCCCGAGCCCCCAAACTCCTTTGCCTCCGCCCGCTGTGAATTGGGAGGAATTGGAAAACCCCAGTGGGGTTGCCTTCCTCGGGCTCAGGCTTCAAAATCAGAAAGCTTTTTAAAAGAAACATTTTATTTTTAATTTTATGGTCTTTTTTCCAGACTTTGCGCGCCTCGCGCTGTCTCCGCCCGGGGAGCTGAGCCCAGGTTTTTGGGGCGGGCCGCCCTCCCCCGCTCTGAAGGCTCCGGCTCCCTCCGCCGGACGCGGGGACAGAAGGACGAATCCGTCCTTGTCCCCCGCAGCCGGCAGATTCCCGTGGGCGGCAGAAGTGGACTCGATCTCCGCCACAGCAGCGGAGTCGGCCGGGGAATCTGCCCCCCGCGGCCCTGCAGTTTCGACTCTGTAGACCCGGGTTCGTCTTAGCACCCGATGTTAACCGCGTTCCCTTCACCCACGTGGTGGGGGTCCCAATTCTAAAGATACGGTGCGCCCACAAACAGCCGAGCCGCGTTCAAAAGCAGCAGGCCGAACGCGGGGAGATCTCTCTGCCCCGCGGCGTTGGGCGAACCCAGTTTTTGCAATTCGCAGACGGGTCCGGGGACTCGCGCGAACCCGGGAAACGGGCGAAAGGAGGAAGCCGATTTGGCGGGTCGTGGGAAGACAGCCAGGGAGTCTAATTCGAGGAGGCTACTGGCGCCTGGGTTGAACCTCGCGCCAAGCGGCCGGGCGCGGGTGGCCGGGCAGGCAGCTCCGGGGCGCAGGCAACTATAATCGCTTAGCGCCTTTCCTTCGTTTCCTTCCTCCGCTGAGCGATCCTGGCGACCTCTCGGGGACACCGCTGCAGAGCCAGCGCCTTCTAATTTTGGACAGAGAAATTACAGCTTTTAGTCGAAGGCTGGGAATGGAGGGAGGCTGGTGGGAGACGTGATGTGGGGTGGGGGGGGAGGAGAAGCGAGGCAGGGGTCGCCCGGAGCGTAATTGCGCCCACGGGGATCCAGCGCCTGGCCGGGCAGAACCGGGAGTCTTGCTGTACGGCGCCTCGGCAGAGAAGAAAGCGAGCCTCGCAGGCCGTTTAGTCCTCCATCTTGACGTTTTTGACCTCACCCGACGGACACCCGATGGCGTGCCCCACCTATCCCGCCGGGCCGCACAGACCACGCCTGCCCATCGGCCCTTGACCTCGGCTTGGCCTTGCGGTGGCTTCGACCCTCAACGTTGCTCTTCGTTCCCCAGCAGGCTGGAAGCGGAGCCGGAGAAAAGCGCCGGTGGTCCAGCGCCGCAGCTCCCCCCTCCCTCCCTCCCTCCCTCGCGCCCCAAGCCCCGAGGCTGGTCTGGGGGCAGAGGGGCTCTTGCCCTGAGAGAGCGAACACCGCCGCCCCCCTGGCAATCCCACGTGAGAAGCCGCCCCAGAGGTTGTGGGTGCTTCATCCCTGGAGGCATCCAGAAGGGACTGGATAGAACGGCATAAGGTCTCCTGCTTGAGTCTAATGGGGTTGGACTAGAAGACCTCCAGGGTCCCTTCCAATTCATCCAGTCCGAACTCCTGCTTGGGTCAGGAGTCGCTTCCTTCCAGGAAAGGAGCAGGGAGGGGAAACTGGCCATTTCTTGTCCTCGTCGCCCCAATCCTGATGCCCATTTCACAGAAATGCTTCCAGCCTTCTGGGCCGAAAGGTTGGGCTGACCCCATCATCCCTGCTGCCCAGGGAAAGTAGAAAGGGTGGCGTCTCCGGCTTCCTTGCTGTAATTGCCCGTTTGAGCACACACGCCACACAGACAAGCTGACAGCCTCCTCCCTTCTCCGCTACCAGAGATTCCCGGCTGTCCGTCTTTCCGACGTCTCCCCAATTTTATGGCGTCCTGTGGGGCAATTTAAAAAGAAAAGGAAACCCCAAGCAAACACACACACGGAGCAGCTGTATGTTTATATCTGTGTATGTTGTAGGTCTATGTGTAAATGTGGAGAGGATATGGAGGAAGAGAGGGAGGGAGGGAGGGAGGAGAAAGAGGGAAGGAAGGAAGGAGAAAGAGGGAAAGGAATGAAAGAATGAGGGAGGGAGGGAGGGAGAAAAAAGAGGGAGGGAAGGAAGGAGAAAGAGAAGGGGAGGAATGAATGAAAGAATTAGGGAGGGAGGGAGGAGAAGAGGAAGGAAGGGAGTGAGGGAGAGAGGAAAAAGAGGGAGGGAAGGAAGGAGAAAGAGGGGAGGAATGAATGAAAGAATGAGGGAGGGAGGGAGGAGAAGAGAAAGGAAGGGAGGGAGGGAGAGAGGAAAAAGAGGGAGGGAAGGAAGGAGAAAGAGGGGAGGAATGAATGAAAAAATGAGGGAGGGAGGGAGGAGAAGAGGAAGGAAGGGAGTGAGGGAGAGGAAAAAGAGGGAGGAAAGGAAGGAGAAAGAGAAGGGGAGGAATGAATGAAAGAATTAGGGAGGGAGGGAGGAGAAGAGGAAGGAAGGGAGTGAGGGAGAGAGGAAAAATAGGGAGGGAAGGAAGGAGAAAGAGAAGGGGAGGAATGAAAGAATGAGGGAGGGAGGAGAAAGAGGAAGGAAGGAAGGAAGGAAGGAAGGAAGGAAGGAAGGAAGGAAGGAAG